ACAAGTTGCCTAAAATGGTAATACTTAAATATACAGAGTGTTTACAAACTTGGAGAAGATTTTTTAATGATAAGTATCATCAAAACGAACATTTTCAGTAATCAATGCCGTTGAAACTGCAACACGCTGCTTAAAATCATTGATTTACAAAGAGCAACGATTAGATGGCGCTTGTGCTACATATACCCATGATACAAAGAGTAAGAGAGATGATACTTCCCACACCCGCGGCCACGTTATGACGTCATGTGGAGATCAAATGGCGATCTGTGGATATAGTTCCTATGAAAGTGATGGGGTTAATAATGCTAACCTATCTTTATCATTTTTTCAGTGCCATATGTGTTCTAAAGTGGTGCTAATTTAATATTTAAATACAAATTGTTTGTGTTCGATCTGTATCAAACTTTTTTGTGGTGATCATGCATTATTATCTATTTATTAATAATGCATTGCTCCAAATAATAAAATCATGGGTTGCAGCCTACAGAGCTAGATAAACATAGAAAATTCTTCGATTTGTTCAAGACATTATAAAATATCAGACTATATATTCGTAATTATCTAAAGAAGTAGCTAAATTGAAAAAAAAAATAGGTGCCACCAAATGATTGATAAACCAGTCGTACTAACAAAATTTTGTCAAATAACATCTGCCAATGAGTCCAAAAGAACTGCACTAGAATTGCCAAATAATGTTGATAATATTGAATTATTGTAATATCGATGCCAGTTTTTATTTATCAAATACATAATCAAAAACAATTAGCATAACCTTTATTAATGAACTACTGAAATCACTCTCCACGTGACGTCATGCTCAAGTGAACCTTCTAGTCTTTATATTATGACATACACCCATAACGAAAATAAACAAGAGGCTGTTTTTTTTTCTAAAAAATAAAAATTATTGTCAATTAAATTATATAAATAATAGATGGCTCTGTTTCCGTAATGTAATTAGATGGTAAATTTAAAATTACTAATTAATTTATTACACAGCTATGTTAATCACAGTAATTACGGAACTGGCCGAGCTATCGATGGAATCAGCGGTTCCAAACATGTTTCTTCTTGTTATTGCGATAAGTCAGTAGGTATTTTAAGATATTTCTATTAATCGTACCCCGATTTATTTACTCTTCGGCTGTTCTCTCGAAGTTGGTGAATGCTCTACATTTAATAAGTGATATAAGATTTTCCACCGTGTTTTTCGTATATGTAGTCCCAGAATTTCATATGTTCCTCCCTATAATTTGATTTTATGGTCAGAGTAGAGTCGATGTCCAAGTATTTCATATCTTTTCGCGAATTCACGGAAGGCCATGTTATATTTTGAAGTAACGGGTCAGTCCGAGGTGTAGGATTCCTAAAAAATTAAACAAGAACTAGTATCTTTAATAATTAAACATAAATAATAATGCAACAACGCAAATATAATAAAATGAAACAATGTTAGTTGGTTGTAAGTGTTTGTCTCCTAGAATTATTTTTTTGTCGTGAAAAAATAATTAGATATTCCCTCACCCAGTCCGAGCAAAATTAGCCCAAAGTTTCACCATTCTCGAGACCATAAGTATATCCTCTTGATTCCGTGGGAATGATCTCTCTATGCGTTTCCATATGTAAGTCAAATCTTCGGTGTGAACAACGCCTTCGAACAAAAAATATAGTAGGTCAGTCAAATTGTCGTAA